AGGAGGAGGAGAAGGAGTACGAGAGCCTCGCCAAGGCCCTCAAGAACGTTCTCGGCGACAAGGTCGAGAAGGTTGTCGTCTCCCACAAGCTTGGTTCCTCTCCTTGCGCCATCCGAACTGGCCAGTTCGGTTGGTCCGCCAACATGGAGCGTATCATGAAGGCTCAGGCCCTCCGTGACACCTCCATGTCCAGCTACATGTCTTCCAAGAAGACCTTCGAGATCTCCCCCAAGTCTCCTATCGTCCAGGAGCTCAAGAAGAAGGTTGAGACTGACGGTGAGAACGATCGCACTGTCAAGTCTATCGTCCAGCTCCTCTTCGAGACCTCTCTCCTTGTCTCTGGCTTCACCATTGACGAGCCTGCTGGTTTCGCCGACCGCATCCACAAGCTCGTCCAGCTCGGCCTCAACATCGAGGAGGACGACTCTGCTCCTGCTGAGGCTGCTGAGGCCACTGACGCTCCTGCCGCCGCCACTGGTGACAGCGCCATGGAGGAGGTTGACTAAACGACCATGCATGCTAAACGGGATACCACAAAAAGTCAACGGAGTTGAAGGGTTTCGGTTTTTATGAGCAACAAGGTTTTTTATGTCTTCTGGTTTTTATGCGGACTCGTCGGATTTGAGCAACCGCCCATTCTGTCATAATTCCCCGGTCCTTTGCGGGCGGGGTGTAACTCTAGTTAGCTCTATGATTACGAGAGATGAGAAGTAGACGCGAAATGGAAATGGTATAGAACAAATATCTCCTTAATGTGATGTTGCCGCGTGATGTGATAAATATGTGTTCTTGAATATGATGTGTGCCGTTCTCGTACTTTATCTGCGGATTACCAAGATCTCAGCGCCTGGATAAATACGCTTATCACACAATCGTCTTCACGTCGGCAAATGTTATCCAGCTCAAATAAAAGGTGAAATTCAATGTTAACTACGGGGTATAAATCTATGTTTCCTTTTTCTATGTGGCAACAGTACAATGCTTCTATCTTGGATTCTAAAAGTCCACATGTGCGTATCTTCGTGATGGCACAGGATGTATTTTCCAAACTAATATTGGATTGATATGTTGACGTGGCAATGACTTCTGTACGACCAGCATACTCATCGAATTGCAAATTCGGTACGATATACGTTACTTAAGCCCTGACTACACCAGAACGTAGAGAGCACAGATCTGTGAAATTGTTAGTGGTGTTTTGAAACACTGTGAGGATGAAATCTTACCATGCTGAGACCCAGGACCATTGAAGCCCAGAAACAGACGTTGTTCAAGGTCTTCTTACCACGAACCCATCTTGTGCGCTGGAGCATGACAATGGGTAGCTGAGACATCTGACAAATGAAGCCGTACCCGCGGACCTTCTTGGTGATACAAGCCATAACGATTTCATGGCCAAAGGCGGAAATCAGGAACGTCAATGCAGTAGCAGCGCCTCTACCAATCCGAGCTCGAGAGGCGCTGTAGACGTGACGCCTAAGGAAGCTGTACACGGGGATATTCCACTCGCGCGAGAACTCCATCCAGTCGGTTGAGTTCCACCAGTCAGAGTAGAAATGTCTATCGGCAAAGTAGGTAATTTCGGCGAATGCACCAAGGACGTATTCGAAAATAACAAGGAAAACAAGTAAGAATGTGAGCATAAATGGGAAGAGCAACCAAGAAATGGTCTCGGCGAGGATGAGAGCCTTCTCGGAGAGGGATGATACTGCGGGGACGGCATCGAGGCGCTGAGAGGCATCTGTGAGAACAGGAAGAATGAAGTCTTCGGAAATAATGGTTAAGAGGAAGATGCAGCCAAACGTGGCAATGATCTTGGAGATGAGGTTGATCCAGTTTATGTGGGTGGTTCGAGGATATTCGATTTCGTAGCAGAGCGTTGGGCAGCAGAGATAGTCGATGTAGTTGGACCAGGTGAGGTTATTTGGGTAGGTGATGTTGCCAATGGGACTCGTAAGTTCAAGGGCGAGGTCCTCTCGTAACTCGTCGACTTCGTCAGCACTGTTGCTAGCGCTTGCGGGAGGGCTCGGGGCCAGGTAGTTGCTGTTAACATCCGCCTCGTCGTTGCTTTTGGAGTCGTCGCCGCCCCTTCGTCTGGATTGCTGACGTCTCTTCCGGCTACGTTGTCGACGACGCTTCTTACCGCTGGTGCTGGCAGGCTCTCCGTCAGCGGCACTAGCTGGTAGGTCGGTGGTAGGATATTGGTAGGCAGGTCGTCGGTCGAGTGGTGAATCGGGGTTGTCGAGAGCATAGAGTCGCTTTTCCGTGTGTGATAAGTGTCCGTTGTAGAAAGCATACGAGTGCATCTTCATCAAAAGTACCATGGTGTGCAGGAGGAAGAACACCTGCGAGGTCCATGTCCATTCGAAGTAGAAGGGCACAACAATCCAAAGCGAAAGCCATAGAACCTGATATATGCTCTGGATAGCAATACCGCCCTTATTCCAAGCCATGAAACTACCAGGCTTCGCGCTCCGAGCTGCGCGGTTCAGAGGCAGACTGACAGCAGTCGACGCAACCATAAGGAAGTCCGCAATGGCAAGATGCCAGAGCTTGACTGTAAAAAGACCCCATATCTGCACTCTCAGAGGAAACCCAGTATCCTTCAAGTTGCGTAGCATGGAGGTTATGCCCATAATAGCAAGACCAATCCAGAAAAGGTTGAAGAAGCCGTGGAAGTCTCGGTAGTCGCTTTCGGGGTCGAAGTGGCTGACGCGCGAGGCAAACTCAATCGTAGGAAATATTCGGCGGCGTTGCTCTGCGCGAGCTTGTTTTCGAGCGGTAGAGAGAACCTTGACCGACGGCGGCGCATTCTCAGGGACGGGCGTAGAACGACCACTATCATGATTAGCTGGAGCAGATTCCTCAAGCTTTGGATCATACCTAGTCAATCCACTGGCTGTCCCTGTGCTGACATTATCCGGCATGAGGTGCCCTTCGCTGTCCTCCGCCGTTGACATGCGCAGAACTTCGGCCACCTGTGAATGCTTCGGTTTGCGCGGTCGAGGACGGAGGACATGGTCATGCTCGCCAGCATGACCGTTCCCGTTGGGAAGAGCATCTATCGAAGAGCTCATATCGCGGTTGTTTTGTTATGGTGTCGTGATCAGTATTGAATGTACACTCGACCACGTCTTGGGGGGAAGATAAAGTGGAATCCGGCGTCCGCGGGAGAGGAAGAAGAAACAATCGAAGTCGTAAGGAGAAAAAAATAGATCCGAGTCAAGTTTTGTTTTAGTCGGGAAATGTGAGACAAGACAGCGAATGCCCCCAGCAGACTAAAATAACCTTGGGTTATGTGTCGTCAGTAAGCAACGCTGGTGGGAAGAGGCGATGTGATAACTAGAAATGAGGGGGAAAAGAGAGGGAGAAGGAGTGGATACAATGCTGGGATAAAGAATGTAAGGAGCGATTTAGCTGCAAAGCCAAGCGTTGACAATTCCTGTTTTATGTTGAAGATATCTGCAATTTGTAGTACGAGTATGGAGTACAGACACGCTGTAAGATACGGCGGATGCGGCGGAGAGCTTGGCTTGGCTGCTGGGCTGATGATAGCTGGAGCTGCCCTGAACCCCTAATTCGACCCTCTACTTTCTGCTTCTGCCTCTCATGGATGACGTAACTTGATCATGGGTCCAGGGTCTGCCGTCATTTCTGCAGGCACTCAACCTTTTAACATAATACGGATACGCGTAATTTATATAATCTTATATAATCTTAGGAAAGAATTATGTATAAAATATTCAAATTATTATACATTTTATGTTATATTATAATGTGTATTCCTAGTTGGGCCGTGGTCAGCACTTTTACACGGGATTGTAGTTAGTGCATCTCATACGTTTCTCAACCTTACAACCTGTAGTTCGATGCAAAAAGTGATGCACAAAACATACAACACCGGGGATTCGCTGGTCGTCACCGACCCAACTACTAATCCGGCGCTTCGAAACTTGACTAAGGGAGAGCGGACGGGATCCCGTATTCTCTTCGAGCTTTGGTCGTATGTGCTTTATGAGTGTCATAATTTGGCCTATACAGATCTTGCAGTCCAAAATCGCAGCCTTACATAAATGAGACCACGGGTTGAGATCACGGCTATCTTGTTTGTTATATCGCTTCAACAAAGCTTCCATGGCTGACTACCTTTCGTGGTATACTAGAGGCTAGGTGTTATGGATTGAAGATGAAACGGCGAGATAAATGACAGACAAGAACGGTATACAAGAGTTCACTCGAATTTATATGTATCCTTCATCTCTAAATCATGATCGCCGTGGAGATGCTAGAGGGGAGTGATGCCCCCTCGGCACAATTTCATTGGAACTTCGTTAAGAACGAAGAAGAATGACTCGACCTGCCCTAGGAGTGTCGTGCTGTCACGGCCGCCAAGTCCAGGCCAAAGTGGAAGAAGTGAGGCGGAGTTCTTGATCATTTTATGACATGGAGTAGGTACAGTGGGCATACAAAAGTTCCAATAATTTCCTCTCTTCTAAATTCTATGCAAATTATATAAATTATAATAAACTCTTCTTAACTCATATAATACTATATAATCTTGTCATAAGATTATACATAAATTCTTCTAATCTTTATCTAATTTATGTATCTAACTATATTATTGTATACGTTCCTCTCGTAATTTCATGCAGATATGCAGTAGATCCTTAATACATGCCTTTGACCCTGCACTGTTTTGGCCAGTACATAACGACCAGTATGTATCCATGTGTCAATTGTATTGATATCATGGCAGCAAGTAGCGATATAGCTTTGGTGGTTAGCATTGAATCTTGATTGACAAAGTCTCAGACGATGCTTGAACCTGAACTCCAAGGCCCCATGAATGGGCGAGGGCGGACGGCTCGTTGCTGGAAAGGAATGAGTGGGTCCCGAGCTAAAGTGGGTGCATTAACGGAAAATTTTGTCTACATCGTGATCTGTACTTCATATGTCAAAATAACAAGTAGCTTCACAACGAATAGTGATAAACATTAAAGGCTTTCGTGGCTCAGTTGGTTAGAGCGTTGGTCTCATAACAAATGTTGTGATTTGATTCCAGATCAGAGTAATCCAAAGGTCGAGAGTTCGAGCCTCTCCGAGAGCATGGTGTCACTTTTTGATCCATGACACATGGCGAACCGTCGCAACGGAAGCAGCGGGGCCTCGCTTCATCTTCTATGGGGCTCGCTTCCGAGGCTCGATTCCAATTGGCGGACACCACTCATGGTAGTGATCAGCCACATTGTGGCGGCACGATGTATGTCCTGTTAATCTGAACCTTATGCAGTATGTTGCCAATATAGCTTTAAGGCAGACTCACAACAGACATGAAGGAACCGTATTTTTCGCACATCAGATTATCACATACGTTGTCCTCAAACATACTTCTTCCCTCAGTAAGGACACAGCAACTTGCTACTACTTTGCCCCAAACCTTATCCATAGCTTTGTCCTATCAACCTCCTTTGTTCCGCTCAAGAGTTTTAAGTTTCTAGGGCTTCAGACTCTTAACTTTGAATATTATCATACCTTGTACAAAAATTACTTACCTCGCCATCCACTCTGGGAACGACTGCAGGTACTATATGTCTGGGGAGGATGTGGGATGGCTACGGCGCCACATGGCTTTGATGGTTGTATTGAGGTATGAAGGCATCTTGGATGGCAAGGTGAGGAGGATGAAGTTCCATGAATCTAGACATTGGACCATAAAATCAATCTGCCTACCAGAAGTATGTTGAGATAAATTTGCAGAGGAAACCTTGTTATGAAGTTGTCGTTTGCGGCGTGTACAGTGTAGATAATGCCTAGGGCAGGCTTACACAACTGTAGTATATACAACCCACCCACTTTCCCATCTGCCATATCATCCTCAAATGGCCACTATTATTAGTCGTAACTTGGGCGGTCGCCAACACATCTTTCTCTGCAGGTGAAAGACGGATTTACGTGGGCATCTGGGGGAAACATGGAAGTCGGTTGAGACAGAGCGATGATGATGTCCAAATCCATTCAGGGTTTGGAGAAGCTGAGCCCCCGAAATCGACTGGTATCGTGAGTGCGAGCAGTTCAAGTGAGCTCCCAAACGTGTTTTAAATGTGAGCAGTTCCTAAAGAATATCGCACATCTGCATAATTAATATCTTATTTCGAACCAAACACATGTCGGATTGTCGTTATCTGCTTGTTGTAGTCTGCACCACTCGGTCAATCATCCGCGTGCTTACTGCTCGCTCTTCGCTCTTCGTTGGGCGATTGCTGCGCCCCACGTCCACGCACTTCACATCCACCTCATCCAGGCGGCCGCGTTCACTTCACATTGAGGCGTTGATAGTTGTTATTTCGGGTTGGATAGATTGCGTAACCTAAGAGAATGCGAGTTAAGCGTGTAAGAGAAAACACTTTGGTGGAGGACATATAAGGACAAAGATGTTGCCTGTAGAAGGACTCGTATCAGAACATCAGTCAACTTTCTTATAAGCATCTTCAGTTTTTGTACAACCAATTACTTGAATATACCATCCAACACTTACAATGACTCTCTATCCCACCTCTAACAAATCCGTCGATGCTATCGACCCTCTCAAGCAAGCTGGCCAACTACCCCGGTACACCATCCAGCCCGAAAACACCGAATACTACCAAACTGAGCAGCAAGATCGAGATGCCTTTACTTCCAGCAAGCCAACAGTGGGCCAACGCTTTCACAAGATGAGCTCCAAAGCTGGCTCGCCGCTGAACAAAGCTGCTCACTTTATTGGAGCTGAGGGATGGTGGCCTTCCACTATGGACAAGGAGTGCAGCAAGGCTGCTCGAATTCTTCACTCTTTTACCAGTAAGTATACCGTCCACCTCGGCTTTGAGTATATAGACTTACACTTTCCAGGTCTTAGCTCGTCTACATCGCCTAGTGCCAAGGGCCCCCTTCACCCAACGGGTCTCACTCGCAAAGCACTTGTCAAAATCCCCCCTCCCGTCCTTCAACGTGCTGCCGGTCTCGCCATCTTCAATGTGCTGCGTGCCGGAGGAGGCCACGGCTCGCTCTCCGGTGGCTCCGGCATAGTCCTCGCACGTCGCCCTGATGGAACATGGTCTCCTCCCTCTTCATTTGTAGTGAGCACTCTTGGTGCTGGTTTTGTCTTTGGCCTTGATCTATACGACTGCGTCTGCGTTCTCAACACTCCTGAACAAGTCGCCGCTTTTACAAAGCCTCGTCTCTCGCTCGGCGCAGGGGGTTCTGTTGCCATTGGACCTGTTGGAACAGGGGCCGGTATCGAGGCTGCCCTGAGTAAGACTGTCCAACCTGTGTGGAGTTACATGAAAAGTCGCGGTCTATGGATTGGTATCCAGATTGACGGTACTGTTGTCGTAACTCGGGGAGATGCCAACGCCGCATTCTATAATGAGAAGGGTATCACAGCGGAGAAGATCTTGCACGGCGATGTCGCTTGGCCCTTGGGTGCCAAGCCCCTATTCGAAGTGCTCCAAGCTCTTCAGGGTCGAACTGACTACAATCAAATGACTGTGCAGGCAGTTGGCGAAACTCCCCCAGTCGACGACTCAACCCTGTTCGAAAAGGAGAGATATTCCGATGAGCATGAAATCCAAGGCTCGGAGAAGCAGGGAAGTTATACTGATGAGCGTCTGGTCCAAGAAAGTCGCCAACAGCCAATGCCAGAGGTTACAACTCACGATACTAAGAAAGAGCTTGCTGGGTATGAGGTTGTGAATACGGGGGATCAGGAGGATGAAGGCGAGAAGATTCTGGATGAGAAGGCCAGGCTTGCCGCATCGGGATACTAAGTCTTTAGATTGTCGTTCATTTTGTGAGAAATGGGGTTATGACTGGGCTTGGTGATATTTGGATATTTGGCCGATACACATGTAGTTTGTTCGCGATAGTCAATCAGGTATTAATATTCGCACATGCATGCCATCAAGTGTTTGAAGCTTGACACCCTGATAGGTTTAGCCAGACACTCGAACTACACACGTAACGAATACATTTATCTCATCCTGCCTCAACTCCATCGCTACACAGCCTCGTCACCCACAGGTCCCCTTCGCTTTCTTCTAGTGTTCGCATCCAGGTTCTCTATCTCCTCAGCGCCACTGCGAAGCGTAGACTCGGTGCTGATGACAGGCGCGCTCGAGCTTTCAGGTAACCTAACCTTCTTGCCTCCCCAACCAGCAGCCATGGACAATGTCTGAGCCCCGTAGTCCAGGTCTCCGTCAAATCCATAGCGAAAAGCCTCCGTCTCTTGAAGCGGGAGGTGGTTGAAGCGCCAGTCCCAGACAGCTGCGTAGGTGGAGCGGTAGGATGCGAATGCCATAACCGTGCCGATGAAACCGCCACCCAGGATATCGTACCAGTTGTGTGCGGCATCGATAGTTAGCGAGCCGGCGATTAGAACTGCCGCCAGGAGAGGGAGGAATGTGAGGAACAGTTTCCAGAAGGCAGGCTTGTGGTCAGCCCAGACCTTTAGCTTGGCGTTGAGCCACAGGAAAAGGAACCCGAATCCAGCAAAGGCGGCAGTCGTATGTCCACTTGGGAAAGAAGTAATGGCGTTCTGAATCCTCGAGGGATCAGGCTGGGTGCAGATCTCGGTGGTGTACATGATCTGGTAGAAACCAACTCCATTCAGGCCAGTCTTGTTGTGCGATTTTGCGAGCGAAATATCCGGCATACAAACATCCAGGAAATAGGGTCTGAAGCCACCGACGAGTTGCTTGAGAGTAACCTGGAAGAGTGACGCCAAGATAACGGACCAGTTTGTTCCAATGATAGCGTTGCTCGCATCCCAAGCGGACTTGATCTTGATCTGTGCGACGATGTAGATGATGATCGGTATAGCAATGGAAATAAGACCCGAGAGCCACGAAGGGAGAATCCAGCCGCGATCAGGATACGCCCATTGCGGGTAGACGATATCTCCGGAAGTCGCATCGAAAGTAACGGGGAACGTTCGCGTGATGATGACTGGAGAGTGGTAGATCTAGGACATGTCAGCAACGGAAATTGAATAGATGGGAGAGACGTACACCAAATGCAACAGCGCCAACAAACGCCATGCAAGAAAGATCCTTCCAGTTCACCAGAAACCATTCTCGCATGAAGGCCTTGAGCTTGTCCTTCTTGGATTCAGACGCGGCCACAGCCGGGTTTATTCGTGGGAGGAGAGGCATGACGACTCGAGCGATAAGGATATCGCGCCGACCAAAAGAGTGTCAAGAGACAGGTTAAGAATATTATAGGCGAGATTGAATAGAAAGAAGAAGAGAAGAGGAAGAGGAGAAAAGACGTAGATCAAACGCTTGTGGTCGTCGCGTGCCTGCTTTTAGATGGCTGACGTCATGGTACGCATGAGCGATCGGGATCGTTTAAACCATCAGCCAAACACTCAAGCTCAATTTAGCCTTGGGACTCGTAAATATTCTTCAAAGCCGAATACTTCTTAGAAAATTCAATTTGTAGTAAACACTATTGTAAACTTATATCATGGTATAACCAACTCCATCATGACCCAAAAATATCAATCACCGTCTATACCAAACACCATGCACATAATACATAAATCATTACATTTCACCCCATCACTTCTTCAATGAACCAGGTCCCGTGATACCTCTCGCGCGACTTCGAACACTAGAATCATACTTGACAGTCTTGTCACCAATTTTCCCATTCTGATTCGTTGTCGAGCCCTGCACACAAAGCTCATCATTCCACGCCACGCCTCGCGCACGTCTCCATGACTCAATCGGAGATGCCAACATGAGCTGTGTGTAAAACAGACGACAGTTAGCTGCCTCGTACCGAAAGTGCACCGGATACCCCTCAAGATTATCTTCAGTGTATCCATTTAGCGCATTGACCTTGCCAACACCGCCGGTAGTAAGAGGTAGAAGAGGGGGGTCCTGCATGCTGGGGAATGATACAGATGCGTCGCTAAGGATCGAGAGTTTTTCCTTGTTTACTCCTGCGCTGCTGCGGACTTGTGCAATTGCTGTAACGATCTCGGAGTTGAAGTTGAGCAGCGTGCCTTTTACACCACCCATGGCTTGCATGGCCTGGTTCAGAGGACGACCTCCCAGAGCAAGCGTG